AGTTGGACCGAACTTCTGGCCCATGCGAGGCCCAAACAACCACACTAGCCGCCTTTGGACCAGAAACACGGGAGCTCCTATAGGGCGCTGCAGGCGCCCGTTGGCGTTCCTGGCGCTCGAAGATGACGCGAGTGGGCCGGCCCAGGAGACGCGCAGAGCGGCGAATGCAAATCTCGCAAAAAAGCAGGAACGCTAATCTCGCAAAAAAGCAGAAAGAAAATGCTCTCAACAGGTATCGCACTCACGCGCATGCACTTCACGTACAAGACTCACTACCAGTCGAGCTACATGACGTTACTGATTAGTAACAGCGGCAAAAGCCTAATAACAGTGTCGTCCGCTATTTTATTGCATAGAACCATCCGTCTATTGTATCACTTCAATTGAAAAAATAATCGTGAATACGGAAAAGTTCATGCATTTTGAGAAAAGTTCACAAACCTGGAAAAAATTCATTGATTTTCAAAAAAAACTTCACTGAATTTGAAAAAAGTTCATCAAATTTGAAAAAAAGTTCAACGAATCTGAAAAAGTTCATCGAATTCGAAAAAAACGTTCATCAAATTTTAAAAAAAGTTCATTTATTTTCAAAAAAGTTCACCAAATTTGGGAAAAAGTTCATCGATATGAAAAAAGTTCATCGATTTTGAAAAAACTTCATCAAATCTTAAAAAAGTTCATCGGATTTGAAACAAACGTTCATCAGATTTGAAAAAGGAAAAAAGAAACAAAGGAAAAAGGAAAAACAGAAAAAAAGGAGAAAGAATAATAAAGAAGGAAGAACTTGGTGATTACCAGATTGTGATGTGTGGTGCGATGGTTGCACCTAGTACGTCGCCGAGGAGGGGCGCATGTTTGACTCTCAACCGGCGCAGTTTCTTTTTGTCTATTAACATAACGCAGAAAAGGAAACGTCATATGGTAGCAAGATCGCTAACCCGCCCCGGCTTGCTTCTGACTATTTCAGCTTGACCACCGCCACTTGGGACAGGCAAAAGGTGGAGCAGACCTTCATGCCCATGGATGGATGTTGAATCCATCCTAGCGATTCCTATCGGCACCCGAAATTTTGATGATTACCATGCTTGGCACTTCGAAAGAAGCAGCAAGTTCTCAATCCGCTCGGCGTATAGGATGATGGTGGCGACACGGAAGCGAAGGGGAGCATGGCTCGAAGAAGCAGCGGGACCCCCGACTCTGCGTAATGAGGAAAAGTCATGGAAGCAGCTATGGAATGTGCAAGTACATGCTAAAATCATAATGTTCTTATGGCGATTAGCGAGGCAATCCCTCCCTACAGAGGACATACGAGCTCACCGCAACATGTCAACTACTAGCTCTTGTGCTTTTTGTGGCTCGTGAGACTCCTGGAGACATTCCCTCCTGGAGTGCTCAGTGGACTGCATGATCGCAACGTCTGAGCCAAACGCGAAACAGTGGCTTTTCACTCTCATGGCAACTTTGGATCATGGAATCTTTGTTTGCGCGGCAGTCACACTATGGGCCATCTGGACGGCACGACGAAAATATATACATGAGGGAATTACACAAAGTCCGCAAGCCACTATAGAACTGATCAATACAAAGCCTCAGCATACTTTGCAGGCAGCCCCTTGGGTAAATGTGGCAGCACATGCAAGGCCAAAAGCGCCACCAACGGGTTACGTTAAGATCCATGTAGATGGTGCAGTCTTGCGTAACCGGCGAGGCTCCGCGGCGGCAGTATGCCGAGACCAGGCGGGCAACTACATGGGAACTTCTGCACTCGTCTTGCCAGGGGTAACTGACCCGCACACTTTGGAAGCAATCGCTTGCCGAGAAGGTCATGCTCTGGCAGAGGATCTCGTCTTGGGGAACCTAATCATCGCATCTGATTGCAAGCAGGTTGTTCATGACATCAAGCTAGGCAACTAGGGAATTTATGGTTCAGTGATAGCAGAAATTAATCTTCATTCTTTGGATTTTACCTGTAGTTCCGTTTTTGAAAGCCGTTCTTCAAACGGTGAAGCTCATAGTTTAGCTAAGCATGCACTTTCTCTCGGTGCGGGGCGCCACACTTGGCTGGTTGACCCTCATAATCCGATTTGTATCCTACTCCATGTGGATTATGATCAATAAAGCTTAGCTTTGCCCTAAAAAAAATATGATCCGCTGCATGCGCGACATCTATTTCTCACATTAAGCGAGACGAGAGAGCTCTTGCTAAAGCCATGCAATAAGGGCATGTACAATGGTGCTATTTTAGAAGTGCCACATAGGATAGATGCTGAGGTGAAGGAGAGAGAATTAATAATAGCTTGTCTTCTATTATTTAAGAGATGATCTTTTAGCACAACATGTTTCATCACGTTTTTAGGAATAACAGATTATTGTAGATAAAGCTAAGAGATAATCAATTGTAGACATGTTTTTGTTATTATCTCTAAATTATATGCAAAGC